GGTGGTCACAAAACCTTGGAACCATGCGGAAGGCTGCAAGAAAAGCCTTCAATAGAGCTAGTAAAACAAAGCTCAGTGCTGATTGGGATGTTTATAAAATGCAATTCAATAGGTACAAGGGCGAAATCAAGAAGGCTAAACGTGAGTCTTGGGTCTGCTATAGTGAGTCAATCGAAGGAGTCAACGAAGCGGCCAGATTCCGCAGAGTACTATCTAAGGATCCAAAATCCATGGGGAATATTAAGCGAAGTGATGGAACGTGGAAAAACGCTGGTAGTGAGACTCTTGATCTTCTATCGTCAACCCACTTTCCTGGTTGTAAGGACTATAGGGAGGATGCGCAGTGTGTGCATCAGTCTACAGTTCGGACGAGGGAGGAGGAGAAGTTGATAGAAGATACTATAAGGCACCCAAAACTGATATGGGCGATAAACAGTTTTCAACCCTATAAATCTCCGGGCCCAGATGGTATAATACCGGCCATGCGGCAACACGCAGATGAACGTATAATATCATCTCTGCAGGACATTTTTAGTGCTTGTTTACTTCTATCGTACATACCAAGTCTATGGAAAGAGGTAACAGTAACCTTCAACCCGAAAGCCGAGTCATACGTTACCAAAAGACTATAGACCGATTAGTCGTTCTTCCTTTCTACTCAAGACTTTAGAAAGGTTACTGGACACTGAAATTATAAATACCATTGACCATAGTAAACTTAGTAAATCCCAGCATGCTAACATGAAAGGATACAGCCCTGCATGAGGTGGTTGGATGCATCGAAAAGAATATGGAGTACTCTGGCTACAGGTTGGCAACATTCCTCGATGTTGAGGGAGCTTTCAACAATGTGAAGCTAGAAGCCATCCATTCTGCTCTCGTAAGCATAGGTATCCCCTCACTCGTTACGGAATGGATTGATAGAATGCTGGAAAGCAGAATTATCAACTCATGCTTAGGAGAGAGTTCCGTGAGGAAATCTGTAAACAGAGACACACCACAGGGAGGAGTACTATCCCCTTTTTTGTGGCTTCTGGTGATAAATGAGATACTTATGAATTTCAATCATCTCAGGATAAATGTTGTAGCCTATGCCGATGATGTAGTCCTGCTGGTTGGGGGTAAGTTTCTAACGACAATTGCAGACATCCTGGAAGGTGCCCATTCAACCCTGTCTAATTGGGCTTGCACCAAAGGTCTTGATGTAAACCCCACTAAAACCGAACTGGTGCTCTTCACTAGGAAACGCAAGATTCCTAGTTTCCGTCTGCACTCACTTGGAGGAGTGACTTTAATCCTTTCTGAAGAAGCTAAATATCTTGGCACCATCCTAGACCGCAAACTATTGTGGAACAGGAATGTTGAGGAACGCTCTAAGAAGGGATTGCTGGCACTCTATTCATGCAAGAATTCCATTGGTAAGAGCTGGGGATTGAGACCCGAAATTATACACTGGCTGTATACGACGATCGTCTTACCCATACTTACCAATGGTTGTCTTGTTTGGTGGCAGGGGCTAACAAAAATATACTGCTGACAAAATTGAGCTTAGTACAGCGATCGGCTTCAATCCTGATCACCGGAGCATTGAGAAATAAACCGCAGGCAGCCTTGAACGCAATTTTGAATCTCCAACCATTGGATATTCTGATTAAATTCCAGGCGGCCAGGTGTCCCCTGAGACTCCGGGAGGCGGATGCCTTGAAATCGCTGAACTATGGTCATGCCAGCATCCTAAACATAACGCCAGGTAATGACCTCTTTAGGGGGAATAGTCATATAAGCAAATATTATGACAATTCTCCTATCCATAAATTATTATTTACGGTGAGTGTAATAAGTATTTTGCCTCAATAAAAATTTGAAAAAATTCCAATATTTACGTCTAAAGCCAGCATACTAAAGACGTAAAATGAATTATGTGTGATGGAGTATGTTTGTGGACATATTTAGATCGTATTTCTGCAAGAATCACTGCGAAAGACCTATTGGTCTCGAAGATATCGGCCGTAATATATAACAATCCAAAAATGTTTATCACAAAAAAGTATTTTGCTTTTTATTACTATTTTAGAAAAAAATTGTTACATAGAACACGTTTGGTCTTCATATAGTTACCATTGCGGGTAACGACATACTATAAGTGATTTGGCAACGATTCCAATAAACCACGGCATTTTTTCGCGAGTATTTTCTCACATTTACGTTCAATACATTCTTCAGCAATATTTCATTTAATATTTGGTAATTTCTCGTCCTAATCTCAAAATCAGAGTATTAAATATAGTCGTCGCGGCTTCAGAACATCCCAAATATGTTAAAAATAATAAAAAGGAGGTTTTACAAAATATATCGCGAGAACAGGACCTTAAAAACTATTAAAACCAAAATCCGACAAACAAATTATTTAAAAAAATATCGCGAAAGCCCATTTTTCTAAATTCGAAAACTTTATGGTTCATTATTACTGATCTAGGAAATACTATGAAAATAGCAATAAGGAGGTCAGATTCAAAGATATGGACGGTTTTCTGGCAATAGAAATACATCATATTTCGAAAATAAATTGATCGACCCGTTTATTCCCTATTGCATTTTATTCGCAACTGATGGTGTTAATCGGAGATAAAATATAGAATGCATATTCGCCACCAGCAACCACAGTTTTTAAAAAAACAATAGGATTTAACGAATAATGATGTATTCTCCCAACTTCATGTAATGTTTTTTATTACTATTGCTTTAGAACTGTTCATATCTTTGAATCTGACCCCCTTATTGGTATTTCCATTGCATATATTGGTTCCTAGATCAACATTATTGGACCATACAAATTTCAAAGTCAGAAAAATTGGGTTTCGCGATTTTTTTTAAATAATTTGTTTGTCGGATTTTGGTTTTAATAGTTTTTAAGGTTCTGTCCTCGCGTTATATTTTGCAAAACCTCTTTTCTATTCCTCTAAACATATTTGGGATGTTTTGAAGCCGCAATGACTATGTTTAATACTCTCATCTTAAGATTAGGACGAGAAAATACCAAATATTAAATGAAATACTGATGGAGAATGTATTGAATGCACATGTGAGAAAATAGCCACGAAAAAATGCCGTGATGTATTGGAATCGTCGACAAATCGCTTATAGTATGTGGTTAACCGCAATTGTAATTATAAAAAGAACAAACGTGTTTTATGTAACAATTTTTTCTAAAATAATAATAAAAAGCAAAATACTTTTTTGTGATAAACATTTTTGGGTTGTTATAGATTTCGGCCGATATCTTCGAGACCAATAGGTCTATCGCAATGATTCTTGCAGAAATACGATTTAAATATGTTCACAAACATATTCCATCACACATAATTCATTTTACGTCTTTAGTATGCTGGCTTTAGACGTATATATTGGAATTTTTTCAAATTTTTATTGAGGCAAAATACTTATTACACTCACTGTATTTATTTTATAAGGAATAGTTGAAGCAATTCATTCATTGCATTTCATTTCAAACAAATTTGTAAAATGGAAGTCATTAAACTGTGTGAGTGACTCATGGGAGATGTTTTTGTGGATTCATGCGGATGTCTAGTGTGTTCTACATTATGCTTTATACCTCATAATAAAAAATCATTAAGAAATGTTTAAAAGCTACCGAAGAAGCCAACCGGATCTTAAGAGAAATAAACTTTTCTGCCTGGAAAATGGCTTAAAGTACACCAATTTGTTGCCATAAGGATACAAAAATTGTGTTCCGTTGTTTCCTAACCTCAAAATAGAGGTCCTAAAATGCTTCTAATAAAAACAAATTCAAATGCGTCATGTTAGGCACGGCGGAGGAAACGCCATGTTATGGAGTGGTTTTAACTTGTTGAACCTAGGGCCGATAGAAAAATGATAATACAATAATTAGAGAAGTCTATTGAGTGCTTTGCAGACTCATATCAACCTGATGAGCCGACTCATTTTATTTTTGATATTTTCTTAACCCTAAACCTTCGTTATTTCTGGGTTTCAGCAACAATCTTCCTTACAGAATCTTCAAAGTCTCTCTTATTATATTTATCCTTGTATAATGTATCCGGAACTTCAAATGGTTCTTGCATCTGGTCTATATTTACTGTATATGCATTATTTTTATTCTTCAATTTATGCCTTATTATTTTTTTATTTTTCAATTTACGCTTTATTTGTGCTCCATTGTGTTCAACTTCCACATCGACTCGCGGAACATCAACGTGACCTTTCTATTTTTAGTAGTCTCCGTCACACTTGTCCTTAAGTCTTAAGATTTCTTTAGAGTTATTTTCGAATGTTCTTTATTCACGCCTCTATTTCTTGTCAGGTCGTATCCTCTTTTAAAATTCATTTCTTTTTCTAATATTTCGTAGCAAATCTCAAGAAAGAGAAATCTTTTAGGGAGAATACTATCTCCAAGTAATTTCGAGTTTCGATCTCGTTAAAATCATACCGTACTCCTAAACCGGTATGTAACATTGCGCCTATCACGCCACAAACCAATTTTATTGTTCTTTTACGGCCTACTTCATTTTACTGAAGAGAACGATCACTACACTATACGCTAATACTGTGGACCGATCAGTTTTGTTAGGTAGTTTCTTTTTGAAGATTAATTTTCCTTGCTAATTATTTCTTTCCTGATAGAGAAAAGTAGAAAAAAAAATAGTAGAAAAGTAAATTTGTGAAATTCCGCACAGATTTGATTTTCATCATAGGTCTGTTCATATTTCACAAATATGTATTTACCACGAACAAAGGATAGTGGGAGAATTTGCTTTGCTTGTAGTTAATATACAATAGCGAGCTATGTTTAAGTGTGGCAATTTTTAAAATTATTTTTACTTTTGTAAAAAACATTTAACTTGTGTAAATCAAATTTGAAACGCGTTATTGTTAGTTTAAAAATTTTAAATGGTATAATTAACAGCAAAAGAATATATGAAATAAAATGAAATGCTATATAAAAATTTGTAAATACATACTCGGTTAAAAACACACTTCTTGATCGCTCGTTCTAGCCTCGTTGTCAATTCCGAGGCAACAATACTAATAAGAGCATCGTAGTTCCGGGATGTTAAGCATTGTTTGAATGTGTTCAGCAATCCATCAATTTGAACAATAAGAAATTGTATAAATGTTTCCCCAGCCTCATATGCCGCTAATTCTTCCTGCAATGGAAATGTATATATAAAATAGTAAATTATGCATAAATTCTTTATTGTTATTTTCAAATGTAGTATTATAAACAAAAATCTGTTTTAAAATTGTAAATTTTTTAGCCAATATATATTTGCAAAGATAAACCTATATTGTTACATTAATCAAATAATACATAAAATAATAAAAAAATAAAATCAAAACTGCTTTATAGGTTATTTGCTTTCTTTTTTTTTTGTACATAAATTATTTGATAAGAGTATATATTATTCTTGAAGAAAACGAACTTCTTCTAAACGAACAAATATGCTTGCGCACTACTAGTTCATTATAATCGCACTCGACTGTATTTATTACCTGCGTATTAAATATAAGCTCTAAATAATTTTGTGGGGAACATTGGGCCACAAAGGATTAATATGTTTTTTTTTTTTGGTAACCCTTTGCTTTGAACAAAAAGGACACAAAACCTGTCAGTATCTAACTGAATATATGTTTTCTCTGCGAAGCCTATGTTTTGCCTTACCTTGGATATAGCGAACTTCTTCTAAACAAACAAATATGCTTGCGCACTACTAGTTCACTATAATCGAACTCGACTGTATTTACTATCTGCGTATTAAATATAAGCTCTAAATAATTTTGTGGGGAACATTGGGCCACAAAGGATTAATATGTTTTTTTTTTTTTTTGGTAACCCTTTACTGAAAATTTAATCAATTATAATCCCGAACAGCTTTATTAAAACAAACTTAAAAACTATCACTCCAATGATAAATGAAAATAAGATTGAAATTGACTCTGACGACGAAAATGTAGTGTCAATAAATGGTATTAATTTGAAATATGAAGAAAATGTCCCTCTTTTAAATAAAACTATATTGACGTGAAAACAATATTTAAAATGAATAATTGGGATATAAAAGAAAAAATTGTGTCGGGTGAATACAAAATAAGTGACAAAAGAGGACGAAGCAAAGTATGGGACTGTTTTAGCATTATAAAAAATGAAAATTATATTGAAATCGAAAATTTTGTTGTCTGCAAAACGTGTAATAATGTATATAAATATAATAAAAATTCCCTATCGAACTTAAACAAACACAAATGTTATTCTATAGTGCAAAACGAAAAAGATAGTCAATTAACCCTTTGTGGCCCAATGTTGCCCACAGGCAACAAAATGTTTTAGAGCTTATATTTTATATTCAGCTAGTAGATATGCATTATTTGGATTTCATATGTGAAGACCTAATTATGGACGACACATATCAAAAGAAAAATCAAAAAATTCAAAAATTTGGTAAAGTTATGAGCTTTTCAATATAGAGAAGAGGGTAAATTTGTGTACAGTACTAATTTGTGTATACAGTCCAAATTATTTAAATCGCTTCGTATTCAAATTGTACAAATTCTACCCTCAGAATTATTTTTGATTCTTGTAAAATTGAATACAGAGGATAATTTAAAATAATTTTTCTGACGATTTTGCATTTGGTTTTCTTGATATTGGACTTTATTTTTTCCGAAAGAATGTACTGTATCTCCCGAATGCAAGGATATATCAATGTCAAATTTTGTGCCTATCCTATTTAGGATAGTTGCATTAAATCTGTGAACAGAAATTGGTCCTAAGATTGCGGGAAAAAATTCGGGACTCAAAGGGTTAATTGACCCCAACAACGACGCTAAAAAAGCCTGCACAGAAATTATTACAGAATGGGTAGTCGGAGATATTCGACCTTACTCATTAGTAAAGGACAGGTGGTTAAAATCCTACTCAAAAATGTTGTTATCCCTCGGAAGTAAGTTTGGTGCCAATCTTAAAGTAGATACTTTACTTCCTCATCCAACAACATTATACAGAAACGTTGAGAATAGTTATGCTACGCACTTTGCGAAGCTCAAATGTGATATTTCGGCAATAAGAAACGTTGGATATGCTCTTACGTGTGACCTATGGTCAGAAAACAACTCCAAAATTTCTTACCTCGCATTAAGGGACCATTTTATTGTGGATGGAGATTATAAAAGTAAGCTTCTGGGAGTAAAGTCAATGAAAGGTATTCTAAACACTTACCCGTGTTGGTAATTTGAAAATTCGTTCAAAATAGTAGAGAAAAATTTTAAAGGTTGTATTACTAAAGATGTTCGTTATTTCCTTTATACAGGCACCAATATAAAACGTAAGTTGGATAATTTGCTTGCTGAGTTTGATTGTTCCTTAAATGACAGCACAGTTATAGTTACCGATAGAGGGAGCAATATAAAAGCGGCATTAAAAGAACATGAAAATATTCATTGCATCAATAACCTGCTTCACAACACAATAGAAAAATGCATAAAAACATCCCCACAAATAGATGAAATTGTTACAATGTCATCTAAACTAGTCAATTTTTTTAAAAAAATCAGGTTTGAATTGTGATTTAAATACTTCATTAAAAAGCTATACACCAACAAGGTGGAACATTGTTTATTTTACATTACTATCAATTAAAACTAATTTTGCTAATGTGCGTGAAGATAAATTCGTTTTTAACTAGCAAAGACACACACCAGTATGTGTGGTTGTGTTCAGTATAACAGTTTTATAATACGGTATAACAGAGTTCACGGAAAATAAATTCTGATTTATTACGAAATTATATATATTTAAATTATATTCAGAATATGTATTCATTCATCATTTTGTGAATATTAGTTATGATGTATTATGATAAAAAAATTTGAAATAAAGAAAAAAGAACAATATATGTTTTAACCCACTGTGCGGGATCTATAAAAGATACGCCCGATCTGAAGGTACCGTATGAAAGCTTGTCTCCCCTACTTTTAGAAAATATTTTTTTCAGAATTTTCTGAAACAGAAATTTTGAGAAAAAATTTTTTGAAAAAAAATATAATTTTAAGGGACATTGTGTTCAGAAAACCACGGTGCAGGAACTATAAAAGATACGCCTGATCCGAAGGTACCGTATGAAAGCTGGTCTCCTTTACTTTTAGAAAATATTTTTTTCAGAATTTTCTGAAACAGAAATTTTGAGAAAAAAATTTTTGAAAAAATATATAATAGTATAGGGCATTATATTCAGAGAACCACTGTGCGGGAACTATAAAAGATACGCCTGATCCGAAGGTACCTTATGAAATCTGGTCTCCTCTACTTTTAGAAAATATTTTTTTCAGAATTTTCTGAAACAGAAATTTTGAGAAAAAAAAATTTTAAAAAATATATAATTTTAAGGGACATTGTGTTCAGAAAGCCACTGTGCAGGAACTACAAAAGATACGCCTGATCCGAAGGTACCGTATGAAAGCTTGTCTCCCCTACTTTTAGAAAATATTTTTTTCAGAATTTTCTGAAACAGAAATTTTGAGAAAAAAATTTTTGAAAAAATATATAATAGTAAGGGGCATTATATTCAGAGAACCACTGTGCGGGAACTATAAAAGATACGCCTGATCCGAAGGTACCTTATGAAATCTGGTCTCCTCTACTTTTAGAAAATATTTTTTTCAGAATTTTCTGAAACAGAAATTTTGAGAAAAAAAATTTTAAAAAATATATAATTTTAAGGGACATTGTGTTCAGAAAACCACTGTGCAGGAACTACAAAAGATACGCCTGATCCGAAGGTACCGCATGGAAGCTCGTCTCCTCTACTTTCAGAAAATATTGTATTTAGAATTTTCTGAAACAGAAATTTTGAGAAAATTTAAAAAAAATATATAACATTTTTGGGACCACATGTTCAGAGAACCACTGTGCGGGATCTATAAAAGATACGCCTGATCTGAAGGTACCGTATGAAAGCTTGTCTCCTTTACTTTTAGAAAATATTTTTTTTCAGAATTTTCTGAAGCAGAAATTTTGAGAAAAAAATTTTTGAAAAAATATATAATATTAAGGGGCATTATATTCAGAGAACCACTGTGCGGGAACTATAAAAGATACGCCTGATCCGAAGGTACCTTATGAAAGCTGGTCTCCTCAACTTTTAGAAAATATTTTTTTCAGAATTTTCTGAAACAGAAATTTTGAGAAAAAAAATTTGAAAAAAAAATATAATTTTAAGGGACATTGTGTTCAGAAAACCACTGTTCGGGAACTATAAAGGATACGCCTGATCCGAAGGTACCGTATGAAAGCTGGTCTCCTCTACTTTTAGAAAATATTGTATTTAGAATTTTCTGAAAAAGAAATTTTGAGAAAATTTTTTCAAAAAAATATATAATTTTTAGGGATCACATGTTCAGAGAACCACTCCTCTACATTATGTTACGAAAACCACTGTGCGGGAACTATAAAAGATACGCCTGATTCGAAGGTACCTTATGAAAGCTTGTCTCCTCTACTTTTAGAAAATATTTTATTTAGAATTTTCTGAAACAGAAATTTTGAAAAAAAAAATAATTTTAAGGGACCACATGTTCAGAGAACCACTGTGGGGGAACTATAAAAGATACGCCTGATCTGAAGAAAATATTTTTTTCAGAATTTTCTGAAACAGAAATTTTGATTTTTTTACGTATCGTTAAGGGCTACAAAACGAATTTAACTAGCAAAGACACACAGAAGTACAGTATAAACTTGATAATCCGGACCTCGACAATCCGGATTATTCGGTAATCCGGACTGCATTTCACAACCCATTGCGTATCCTATAATCCGGATTGATTGACCTATTTGACTCAAAAATCCGGATTGTAAAGATACGTTACTTTTTATTTTAATAAAAAAATCGTTGCAAATTTAATTGAAAATGGTACCAATTGTATTCAAAGTTCATATTTTTGAAGTGAATAAATAACAAATAATAATTAATTTTAAAATATGTTTTAAGAACTAAAAAACTCCGATAATATTTAATTTAAATTGAAAAAAAAAAAAAATATGTTTATAATTTATTTTATGAAAAATGAAACTCCAGACAGGTGGACATATAAGCATATGAACCAGTTGTAAATTACACAGAAAGCATTTGAACTTGTTTTATTATGTCATTAT